GATATTTACTTTTTACAGTGAATATGTTTTTTAGTAAAAATTCAGTAAATATATATATGTGAAAGAACAGTGTTTCTGTTAAAAAGCTTAATGAAGATTTCTGCAATAGTATTTATTATTTAAATTAGGATATTTTACACTCATTTTATGGTTTTTGTATGGCAGCCATTGCTGACAGTCATTTTACCTTTTTTTCACAGTGAAGGTATTTGATCATAATAATTCAGGAAATAACTGTAAAATAACAGTGTTTTTCTGTAAAACATTTAAGGACAAAGTTTGGAAAAGTTTTTTGCACTCAATTTAAATTAGGATATTTTACTTTATTTTTACGGTTTTTGTTTGGCAGCCGTAGCTGCCAGTCATTGACCGTTTTTTTACGATTTTATTTTTTACAGTGTATGGTAAAACGCTCTTCCTAATGTTTTACCTACATTGAATTGTGACTTTAAAGAAGTTAGTGTTGACAGGAAGTTTATTAATAAATCTATATATCACAGATCTATGTCTCACTTTCCCCTGACAATGTCTATTTCAAGGATTTACACTGTTTCTCTTGCCAAAAAAGCTGTGCTAGCAGCATGACTCATCCTATAGACTCTCGTCTCACTCGTTCACTTTACAACATTTTTATCTGATAAAATCTATCAAGTTTATCTGTCTAGTGAAGTATGGAGTGTGATAATTCCTTAGGTCATAATTGCAGCTTAACAAGATATTGTTTTAACTACTTTCTCTTTTTATGTCTCTTGGAACAGACCCAAATGAATCAAAGTGAGCAGGTCATTACCCTTTTTCTCACATTGGAACAGAACCAAATCACAGACTAGAAGCAATTTACAAGGAGAGAATTTACTCACCTGACAAATTACACGGACCTTTAACAGCTACAAATGTTCAGTGCAGTGCAAATGGAGATCAGATGTTAAATACAACAGGATTTAAAAAAAATCGTTATGGTTTTATAATGACGACCATGTCTGCAAGCCAAAATACCTTAAACGTGACAAATAGCCTATCATAGTGATTTGAAATCTTTAATTGAAATAAAATATAAATATTAAATGATAAACTATAACAAAAATTAGAAATGTTGCCTTAGCAACTAACTGAAATAAAAATTAAAGCCGAAGTGCTAAATTTACTAAAACTAACATTTAAATGGAAAAACAATTATAGCTAAATAGTTTTATAATGAAAATGACAAAAGCTCAAGAAAAAAAATATAATATTTATAAAAAATGTAAACTAAAATTTAAATAAAAAATAAAAAAAGATAATTCAAAACATTAAAAATACTATAATAGTATTAAATAAATAATACTAAAATAACACTAAATTTGACAGAAAATCATCAGAATTTTATTGTCATGTCCCTTACTGGTGATGCATATCCTGTTCTTGCCAATCTGACGTGTCACATCCTGCATGATGGATACTGCACTGGACTGTAGATGACACAACATTTATTTAGTTTAGTTTCCTCTATGACCTCATTGCAAACAAACAAAGATTATGTTTTTGCTAATGCTACTGCCGGATGCTAACTCCGTGTTTGCTGGCCAGACAGGCATTGGCCACAGTGACCTCTTCATCCAATCCACAAATATCAGCCTTGTTTATAATTTCACTGTTTATCTAGATTCAATATCAAAGTGACTCACAGGACCACCATGGAAGCATAAAACACTGTAGTGTCTCGAAGAAGGCAAAATAGCAATCTACTGAAACCCCTCCCCCATATACAGACAGAGGGAGAGATTCTTTCTGGCAGAGGTGCTGACATCTGCTGTAGGTTTTGGGATGGAATATGATACTCTCCCATAGTCTGCACATGACCTCCAGTCTGGCAGCACCACATACTGCACCTTTCCTTTTTCTGTTGCTGAGGGATCCATAAGCAATATTTCATAAGCAATATTTCATATTTCCCCACGTATATATGTGTGTATTTGTATACACAGAGACATATATACAATTTATATAAATATAATAATATATATATACACATACATATTTTATATAAACAGAAACTTTTATGTAAGATGAGATTAATCAATTTGACAGCACTAATATATACCATCTCTATCCCCACTATATATATGTCACACAATACAAATATGCAACAATAAAATAACAAACTTAGAAATCTGATCATGCCAGCTAGATTGAAATCTGCAGCTTCCACATGCTCCTGGTCTCAGATTTTCCCCACATCTACTGAAAGTGCAATTGCTTTGCCATTGCATCATTTGTCTGGGAGAATCATTTCAATGTGTGCCCTTCTCTGATTGTTTAGTCTGCCATAGAAATCTACACCTAACAGGCATGTAAGGAACACGTTGACAACAGGGAGATGAGATTAACCACATGAAAAGACCTTCATGGGTTGATGCTTTGAGTAGGGAGAAGGAAATAACTTACACAAGGGGAGTAAGTGCACTGTCTGCAGCTTTGATTTGACAAATTAAGAGGTCTTTAGCGTTTCCCTTAAGATGCTTTAGGCATTGTTCTGACTTCACAATGATGAAATGCCAAACAAAATGATGAAAAGATTTAGACATGAGGACCGACACAGGCCACAACTTGTGATAATAATAGTGTTAGGCCTTGTTCCAAATGGTCACACCCGTTCAGGAAGCCCTTCCATAAACATGTGAAGCAGTCATGAACTAATGATTAATGCACCTTCAAGACCATTTGCAGGGCAACCTTAAATTGAAAAAAAAAAAAACATGCATTTTTTAGTATCTGCATCCAAATGCAGAGTATGTACTGTACTTCCAGGGTATGTACTGAATGTGATGACAAACTTACTTCCCATCCCATTGATGGAGTATGTGTAGGCAATGCAGGTGTAGTATGAATACACCCATGTTGTCATTATCCTTTGACCCCTCGGTTCTTTGACCTATATGATGTACTGCAACAACTGTGAAAATAATTTACTCAAGTGTTTTTAAACAAGTATAAATTAACTATTAAGAACAACTTTTTTTGTGATCTTTAACACAGATCTCCCCAGTTCAGCATCAACTTTTATTATTTATTTATTTGTTAAATATGACAGCTCCAGCAGTCTCTCAGGTATTTTCAGAAAATATTTTTTTACAAAATTATGTTTTCCTACGGTGGCCGAGACAGCCCCATGCGCTGCAACTGAAGGAAACACATGCAAATAGAAAAAAACGTGTGCAAATAGAAAAAAAAACACATGCAAATAGAAAAAAAACGCGTGCAAATAGAAAAAAACACACCTGCAAATTAAAAAAAAACATTTTCATCAGTTTCACAACACACGTGTGCTCCAAATACAGAAACGCGCTGCAAAAGTTCACAACACAACCAAATACAGAAAACTCGCTGCAAATAACACAGACCACAACGGAAATGTTTCCAGGGGAACCAAATAAGTGAAAAACCCGGCTGGGACGTGCTTGGCCCTGTCCCAAATGGCACACTCCGGACTTGTGGACTTCCTCAGAGTCCACACTTTGGTGACGTCATGTAGTGCAGACCTATAGGGCCCTTAGCACGAGTCCGCGAGGGCGCATTGAGAGATATTTTTGGGACAGACTCGATCGTCATGCCGGAAGCAGGAAGACGGTCTGGTTGTTGTTATGAACAGGAGCTACAGGTTCGGGGAAATATGCTGCCTATTGTTGTTGTGTTTACATATGACTCAGTAAAGCCCTGACATTCTGTTCTATTTATTTAATGAATCATAATGCGATCGTATTATTCAGCTCGCTATTATTAGCCTATGTTTGAGACATCAACCACTGGTCGATGATCATAATGTTTGTATAAACTTGTCATAAAAACCGTAATGATAATTACACTTAAATATTTTCTTCTCAGCCATTAACAATTGTCCGTGAGCGAAACCTCCTCCCATCCGTTGTCTGGCCTTTCGCAAGGATTCCTGGGTAGTTAAAGTGCGTGGAGCCTGCATCTATGCGGGCTTCGCGGAAGACCGCTTCAAGGGTACAAAGGGGGCGCTGCTGAGCACACTTCAGAGCGTTAAAATGCTAAATGGGACGTTCTACGGACTCGTAGACTCGGCGAGCACGCGCAATTGTGTTTTTTCTATTTGCATGTGTTTTTTTCTATTTGCACGCGTTTTTTTCTATTTGCATGCGTTTTTTTCTATTTGCATGTGTTTTCTTCTATTTGTATGTGTTTTCTTCAGTTGCAGCGTGTTGAGCTCTCTCGGCCACCGTATTTTCCCACAATATCTGTTATTCAATAATGCCAACTCAGCTGTGAACACTGTAACTTATGTCTTTAACACTGTGTATTCTGTCTTATCCTAATGCATGTTTAATTATGCTCTGATCGCTTTATTTGTAAATCGGTAATCTACGCAAATTTTGTCTTTTCTTATGTTTATTTACAGTCTTATAGATAACACGTTCACTTCCTCTGGTGCCATTGTGTTTGCGACATTGTGTTTGTGTCTACTATTTTAAATAAATAAATACATAAATAAAACTGTTTAAAAAAGTTGCTGCCTTAAATTTTTAAGTAGGCTACAATCAGCATTTAAACTTAAATTACAATAAAATTACTTGTATAACTTATTTTAAAAAGTTGAACATTAACTTATTTTGATGAGCAATGTAAAAACACATGTTGTCATAACTTATTGATCATATACTAACTTTTTGCAGTACTTATACCAATACTTCGTCAAGCCTTCCTTTTATTTTTTTAATTATTAATTTATCTTCTGGACAGGTACACCACATAGCCTACATAATTTTGACTAAGCTCCACACAATGTAGGCTATATAAAATAATTTAAATGAAGAAAATATGTTCATCAGAAGTGTTTTTAAATGTATACATTGTATTTTTGAACAGTTATTCGATCAACAGGTATCATCGACCCATAAACATATGCTCGCTCGCTCTCTCTCTGTCTCACACACACACACACACACACAAACACACACACACACACACACACACATATATACTTGTGTAGCGGTGGATATGTGAGAAATATAGTCTTTCACTCTAAAGCGACTGCAGCGGCAGCACCAGCAGCTTGTGAATGGTCCCCGCCTCTCCGGGGAGTTTCCTCCACGGGGAACTTTTACTTTATGTGCAGCACCTGTTGTGTCGCCAGTCGGCCGTCTGCGCTTGCCAAACACTCGGAGCCACCTCAAGACATTCATTTCCTTCAGAAAGTTGGACGTGCAACGCTACAAGTGGCGTTTTACCCAGAGTCGGTCGCGTTACTCGAATGGACTATAGTGTTTGCAAGGGAAAGTCGAACACTTTGCAAACAGGCAAAGGCAGTTTCGCGTCTAAGCAGAAATTAAATTACAGCCGTGCACGTTTCCAGCTGTCCTCTTGAACACTCGTGTTTAGGCGAACAGGTGTGCGCTCTCTAAGTTAACAGCAATTAATGCTCTTTGCTCAGATGCCTCTCGGGAAACTTTCCACAAAGAAGTTTTCGCTGTAGAAACACTGCCCGATCAGGATTATGTGGACTTTACTTTACGCGTGCCTCTTACAGATGTGTCCAAAGTTGGATACGCGTCTCACGAACAATATTTCTGCATGGTGATTGAAACAACACATACTAAGTGCCTATAAGCACCGACAGCCACCATTAATCCAAATGATTCCAATGCTTCTCTTGATTCTTATATCGTCTCTTCATCAGCATGAGTCGGTGGCGGAATCGAGTCACATCAGTAAGATTCACCACGCCAGCACTAAAGAGCAAAATGGTAAGTTCAGAGAGTCATCGCATGGGCTTTTTCTCTTGTTGGGGTGTGTGAGACTTATGATAATGCTTTACAACTAAACGCATTGAGTTTACCTTTTCAATGAATGGCCATGGCAAGCCTTTAACATTTATACCTTAAAACTAACTAATCTTTTTCATTTTACTGAAGAAATATAGCTAGTAAGATAAATGTTATTCATATTAATCTCTCATGTTTATTAAACCAGTGCATACTATTTATGTAAAGATGGAATACATAATTATTGGGGTAGTACTAGTAAAACTAATCCAGTGACAATTAGATAATAGCATACTATTGATAATTTATATCTAACCCACAGAGAAAAAATAATTTGTTACAATAGACTATTAGCAAATTAACACATGCTGATGTCTTATGAATAATTACTACCAGTCAAGTGACTACTTAAATGAGTAGCCTACTTGTCACTTCTGGAATAAGTAACAGTACTAGTATCCTATAAATAGTTTGTGAAATAAAAAAATATACTAGTCACTATTGGATTACCTATGTAACAGAATAGTAGCAATAATGGATAAAAGTTAGTTAAATTGATTGCATGTTAAAACAGCTTGCCATGGATAGTCCACAATTTATGGGGTTCACACAGCGTTATACTTAGTAGGAAGTTGAAGTTACCTTTGGCTTTCATGTGCATGAAACGCACATCTGTATGTGTGTTTAAGAGAGAAACAAATCTCTGGGTAACCGAGTCCCCAGGGAAGGGTTTTCTCTCTGATCGCAGAAAGACTCCATTCATGAAGCGTGGGGTGCCTGGGGCCATGCAATTTGCTTTCCTCTTAATCCCACCAAAACTCACAGCTGAACTAAAAAAAATCAGAAATGATAAAAATATAATAAAGCAAGAGTTTCCATTTAACTTTTGCTCTGAAACTATAAGCTCAGTGTTGTAAAGCAGGCGTTGGTGGGGACAGGCAAACTGTCGCTCATTGCGCACCATTAACAAAATGTAAACTACTACTTGTGTTGACTTAGGCGAGGGAGCGCCCCTTACTCTGTCAGGGGTGAAGCAGAGTGGAAACATCTTGCATTCAAATGGCTTCTTTGGGCCCGGTATCAGAGCTTTCATTGTGTTATCATTATTTCTCTAAACTGGAACATGCAGAACATGTCTACTGGGAAGCCATGTTTACATGGAAGTCTTTTTTTGGAAGTCTATGAAAGTACGAAAACCTTCTGCGAAGACTGTAAAATCTTAACATCTTTGTCTATTAAAAAGGAAGGCTTAATTGAATTGGAACCTCTGATGCAGTACGTATAGTCCCCTCTCAGGTCAGAGTTGTGTGCCAGGGAAGACCCTTGTGATTGCCATTTGATAGGGGTCTTTGGCTGTAACGCCACCTTTATTCCCCAGTGACTTAAGAATGGAGGTGAATTGGTAGTGTGCTCTGCCAAGGGTTTCTGAACGGGGAGTCTTGTTCTCTGGCTCTCTTTAATTGTCAAAACAGTAGATGCTCTGTGGCAGCCATCTCTGGATGGTGTTGATTGAGGCAGTTCTTCACCACTGATCTGAGGCTGGTTTTATTTTGCAGCTGCAGTGTCAGGTTAAAAAGCTACTTGACCAACTTTTTCAGGTTAGCCTCAATAAAGAGTTTGCCAGCCCACAGTTCACTGAGCTCTTCACCCATCTCATAAAGGCTTTTCTGAACACTTTTATGTTCTTTTGGTTCAATGGGTTTCATACAAATTGATGGGAGTAGGAGGATGTAGTTGAGGAAGGAGGGTGAAAGATATTTGCAGTGCTCCGTCCACACCAATGACTCAAATGGAAATAACTGCATTGACCTGACCTTCAAAAGCTGATTCATGAAATTATAACTGACCGTTGCTGAAAGTTAGTCAATTTATGGTAGAGGCATGTCCATGGTGTTGCAACAAGGGCTGTCAATTGAGTAATCAAATTGCAAGTTAATCTTTTATATCGATGTTTTCCATAAGCCATATTCAAACTCATTATTGTGGTAAATGAGTAAATCAAATGATAAAAAGTGGTTTTAGAAATCAGTGTAGGTAGTTCAGTTAGGTGGAAATAATGCACAACAATCCATTTTATTATCAAATTTGGTAAGGACTTAAAGTCCATGTGAACCGGAAGTTGCAACCAACTTCAGTGTTAAGAATTTCCAAGTGAAACGGAGTATAGACCAACGCTACTTTTGCGTCATCGAAGGGTAACGCCCCCTTTTGGGGGAAAACAAACGGATTCCCCTGAGAACAGAACTCGCTCTAGAGCTGCTCAGTTTCTTGATAGCAAAAACGGCACAAACTTAAAGAAGCTACTGGATACGGGGTTACAGAGGTGTCCCTTTGAAATGGTCGAAAACTGGATTAATGACCCCACGCAGTGGCCAATATATGGACTATTCAGACATCAAACGTTACCACCATCTCGTGGAATCACCAAGTAAGTAACGTTAGCCTATTTTTTTTTTGTCATTAACACACTCACAGTATGACAAACTAGACGATGAGGCCATGTCACTTGTATCATATTTAACTTGATTTAAGCTATTGACATAGTTTTGTTGTCGACTAGCTATACTAACGTTAGTTAGAAAGACGAAGCTGCTAGCAGCTAACGTTATGTGATTAACGTTAGCTCTCACTAGGCATGCTACCTTGGCTGTTAACTGATTTTACTGTTGAAATAGTGGCAGGCTAGGACTAAAGTGGACTTGGCTGGTTTCTGCTTGTGTCTAGAAAGTGCTTTAGGCCTATATGACTTTTCGACGAGCACTGCGCTGGACTACATGTAACAACACGAACGGCAGTAGATCAAGCCTTCTAGGCTAGATAGGATAGCGTAATGTCACAACATCCAATTTGATAGCCCCGTACATACATACATTGGTCCTATACATATTTTGCCGTACACTGTAAACCTTTTTACAACTTTCAAAGTCCTAGCACTTTCTAGAAACAAGTAGAAACCTGCCAAGTCCACTTTAGTCCTAGCCTGCCACTATTTCAACAGTATAGTATAGCTAGTCGACAACAAAACTATGTCAATAGTTTAAATCAAGTTAAATATGATCCAAGTGACATGGCCTCATCGTCTAGTTTGTCATACTGTGAGTGTGTTAATGACAAAAAAAATAGTCTAACGTTACTTACTTGGTGATTCCACGAGATAGTGGTAACGTTAGATGTCTGAATTGTCCATTTTTGGCCACTGCGTAGGGTCATTAATCCAGTTTTCGACCATTTCAAAGGGACACCTCTGTAACCCTGTATCCAGTAGCTTATTTAAATACCGCTCACGGTCCTCGGCCGGCAAAGAGAGTGTGTATGTTTGTGCCATTTAAGAAACTTTGCAGCTCTAGAGCGAGTTCTGTTCTCAGGGGAATCCGTTTGTTTTCCCCCAAAAAGGGGCGTTACCCTTCGATGACGCAAAAGTAGCGTTGGTCTATTGAGTCGAGGGCAGGGTTTTTATTTTACTGCACCTCCTCTCCATCCCTTGGTCATTGCAGACTGACGGTTGAATGGGAGTGGTTAAAGTGAACCCTGGGTATTAAGTAGCCTGGTAATACCAAACTCTGCTACTTCATGTATGATGTATGATGCGTATGAAACACATGTATGATGCGAAAATGAAACCATCGAGCGAAATACCGGAGTGAACATGGCTGACCGAGTTTTGCTGCCTCCTTAACCTGATCCTCCATGAGTGCAACCAAGGGGGACACAATCACAACTATCGCCTTGCCGGCCTTTGGCCTGCCCAGTTTCTCGCTGACGATTGGTAATAGTTGATAAATTAAACTTTTCCCAAAACCTGTCGGGAGTAGGGCCGCAACATCATCTCCATTCAAAATGTTTAACCAACACTCTTCTTGTTTGGGCTTCAGTTTGCAAATGCTGGGAATATTCTCCACAACAGAGCGAATTGCATCCGGTGTCTCCATATCCGCGGTCACAATCTTAAACTCGGTGCTTAGCGTCTACGTCACGGCTCTCAGCCTGCTCTCTGTTCGTTGATTGGCCGGCTGTTTTCAGGCCGGAGGAAAACTGAGAGACATGAGTACAGAAGCGAACTGAAATAGACCGGAAGTACGAAGTCTGACGCAGTCAGGCTAGGGATTAGGACTTATATGGCTTAATATAATGTAAATGATGTCTCTTACTGAAATATGTACTAAAAATCCCATGAAAGATTTACGTTATTTAAAAAATCCACATCGTTTTATACATATTTTGGACAATGGGGGGCGCCATTAAATTAGGTGCGCAGTGCATTCTGCGTCCCAACCCCAACGACCAACACATTTTTTTTTCCTGCGTATTTTTTAAAATTAATTTCATTTTTATAACATTTTTATTTCATAATAACTTTAAGGGTCTTTCACACAGGGTGCGTTCTTTTTGCGTCTTTTTATTTGATATTTTTAATGTTTTATTTTATTTTTGCCTTTTGCATTAACTTGCTTTTTTAGCTTCTTGCTCGATGCTTTTTAGACGGTGTTAAATTTGACTTAATTTCATTTGCATTGACTTTCTGTGTTTTAAGCATCATGCCCCATGAATTTAATAAGTTCTTAAAGTTTTAAAAACATATTGGCTCTTTCAATATGAACGGCTCATTACTCATTCAATGCTGCCTACTCTCAGTAAATGTGGTTTGTCAGGTCAGAGGACATGATAAATATGTACATTTTAATGATTTAGCTGCACTAATTTAACATGTTAAATTGACAGTCATACAAGGACTATAGTGCTTCGAATCTGAGAACAGAACATGAATGGCTGTTTACTTTGCTTAAAATCCCCATTTATTTTCATATTCCAACATCTGAATGAGCAAGATTTCTGCCATCTAAATTTATTTGAGACTTTAGTGTGAAATTATTAACGTATAACAGAGGTCTTGCATGCTATTGATATCTAATTTTATTATGCGAGAGTGTTATCAGAAGACGTCTAGATGACATTCAAGCAAAGAATTAGAACGAATCCTGAAA